TTCAGTGTTCAGCCCATATCTCGAGTTCTAAAAGTCCAAATGACCTTATTTTTTTTGAAAAACTGAGACAATTTCCTAAAACTTTTATGAAGATAGTCTGGTTAAATTTTGATGTTAGCAATGACATTTTGTTCAAACAAGAAGATAAAGATTGTTACCAAGTCTAAATATGGCCACCCACTCAACAATTAGTTAACAAAACAATAGTTTTAAATTATGACCTATAAAAGGAGGTATTTATCATGCATTTAGGCATCTTGGTTTGCAGATCAAGATTATGCTCTTGCTTTCTCTCAATGACCTCATTTTTGTAATGCTTAAGTACTTAAAAGTGCATTTTTATTAAGATTTTATATTATCATTTTATACTTGAAGTATCAATAACTCCTTAACTAAAACATGTTTTATAATAACATATTTAATAATATAATGTAACTTTAATTTATGGTAAATGTTTATCTTAAATGTAGGCCTATCACATAAATGAAAGGATTTATTGATAAGTTTAAGTACTGAAATTGAAAGGACAAAGAGATGACCAAACTTAGAAAAGAGATGCTGGTGCAATCCAAATTGAAACACTGTTTGGTAATTGAGTTATATCTGAAGCTGTAGATCTCGGATTTAGTTCCACTTTATATGGATGGAAAGGTAAGACACATGTCTATAATTTTCATAGGAGACCAAGATTTAAAAAGGTCATTTTCAAGTCCAAATTATAGCAATAACGAAGAAGTCCGAATATACTTTGCAGCCTGAACATTATTCAGTGTTTGACTCATATATGGAGTTCTACAAGTCCAAATAACTTTATTTTTTTTCCTGGAAAGCTGAGATAATTTTCTAGAACTTTTATGATAGAAGTGGTTCTAATTATGACATTATCAATGATGTTTTATTCAAGAGAAGATAAGGATTGTTATCAAGTCAAGAGTTGGCCACCCACTCATCAGTTAATCATCAAATTAATAGTTTTTAATTTTAGCCTATGACAGGAGGCATTTGCCATGTATTTAGGCATCTTGGTTTCCAGATCAAGATCATGCTCTTCCTTTCTCTCTTTGTATTTTTTGTAATGTTTATGCTTTGCTTTCAAACATCTACAAGTATTAGCATTATTCGAATAAGGTAACTAATATAGTTATGTTAACAATTTATAATTGGATTGGAACCTCCTTTGTGTGTAGTTTTCATTTGAGTAACAATAGTTTATATTATACTTGTTTGAAATACCATTAGTGGATCCTCTAACCTTGATATTTTTTGTTATCATTGTCTAATCCTTGTATTGATCTTCCATCTCAAAGTTCTCATTAACTTCTTCTTTTTCTTCTTTTTCTACTTCTTTATTGTTGTTGTTGTTGTTGTTTATAATTTATACAATTAACTTCCCTATGGTTCGACCCCGGTCTTGTCAGGTTATTTATTACCTTGACACTCTTGCACTTTAAGAGAAGACATCAAATTTTTGGTCATGTCAAAGGATCACCTGAACCAGCAACCTTTTCAACCTTCAACCTAATAGCCCTTTTAGCCTTATATCCACGACAAATCAACCTTTTCTTCTTAACAATCATCAAGTGCAAGTATGTCTTTAAAGGATATTTTAAAATCCTTGGCCACCAACACACAAACATTTCAATAAGAGATGAGAGCAAGCATTCAAAATCTGGAAAATCAAATATCACAATTGGCTTTTTTAGTGATAAAATAAAGCCCAACAAAAGAAGATTATCGTCTTAAACTAAAACTAATCCTAAGAAAAATTCAAGCGCTATGACTTTTAAAAGTGACAAGGAAGTGCAAATCAAGACAACAACCAACACCTAATAAAGAAAAGAGAAACCAGCTGAGTCATCGAATCTACCAGCCAACCAACAAGGTAAGTAAAAATTTTGCCTTACCAAATTCTAATATTTTAATTCATCCCCCTTTTCTTGGCTGGTTTGTGAAATAAAAAAATAATGAGATAGAGAACAAAATCTTTGAAACTTTTTGGTAGGTGAAAATAAACATTCTATCATTGGATGCAATCAAACAAATTCCATGATATGCCAAGTATCTTAAAGAGTTGTGTACCAACAAAAAAAGGCTAAATATTAATGAGAAAATAAAGGTTGGAGAGAACATGTTCGCAGCCATACAAAGAAAATTGCCTCAAATTGGAAGGACCCATGTATGTTCATTTTACCCTGTGTGATTGGAAATTGTAAGTTAGAAAAAACTATGCTTGATTTGGGAGCATTAATTAATATCATGCCACTGTCATTTTACAAGGATTTGAATTTAGGATCTTTAAAGAAACAAAAACAATAATTCAATTAGCTGTGATGTCAAATTCATACCTTAAAGACATTGTTAAGGATGTTCTAATTAGAGTAAATAAAGTGATTTTTCCTGTTAATTTTTACATCATTGACATGAATGATGCGTTTGCTTTAAATCTAACTCATATATAGTTAGGTATACAGTAAACCCCGGTATATATATATATATATATATATTTGAGAAAAAATGTTCTCGAGAATTGAATAAATTAATTGATATGACTTGTACAAATATAAAACATAAAAATTGAATCTTTGATGAAAAATCACAAACCAGCTAATTTTACATTATAGCATGTAACTTTCAATCTAGTAATCAGATTAAATTGAAATTTTGCGTGGAGTCTTATAAATTATTATTTTAACTTAGGTTAAAGTTTCAGAATTTTTAGAGCATGATAAGAGTTTTTTTCAAATAAAAGAATAAGTAGCACAAATGAGTGTCTAGAAATTTCCCTAATTTCTTTAGGGATCAAATTGAAACTTTGCCCAAAACAAACCTCTTTATAAGTTGCCACCAATAAAAAGAAAAGAAAAGAGGGAGTGTGCTGCCAGCTAAAAGAAGAAAAATGTGAAAAGAGAGCTTTTGTCATTTTTATGGAAATTGCTTGAAAAAAAAATGTAAGATAAAAAAGAGTGTTAAGTAATTAAAGAGAGGGTTTGATGCATTAGGAGACTTCAAGGAGTTTAAAGATTTTAAGTTTGCTTTTAGAGAAGGAAAAATTGAGCTTAGAGGAAGTATGAAGGGGATTTTGATTCAACTTGTTTTGGCTTTTGATTCTTCATTCCATAAAGGTAAGAAAACTCTCCATAATGATCCATTGTGTTGTTTTTCATGTTTATTCTTGGATTGAATAGAATTGGTATTATGTGAAAGTGAGTTCTTGATGTTAGGGTGGTTTGAATGCATGCATTTTTATTGATTATATATTTATTGAGGGAATAAATGTTTGGGCTTGTCATTAATTAGGTTAATTTGTAAAAAACAAAAAAGGAAGAAGAGAAAAGAAGATTGAGGGTATAAAGAGTGGTTTCCACCTTGGATTTATTATTAATCCCTTATTATGTTATGAGTATATATGATCTTATTATGTTGATTGGTGAAATTTTATACATTGATACTTAGATATTATGATGTGTGATTATGGAACTCTTAGATAAATAGAAATGATAGATGTAATTTGTGAAGTTACACTAGTGTATTATATGTTGGCATGAAAAATATAAAAGTAAAACAAATAAATGAGTTAAAGTTAATTAAGTGAAAAGTTAAAGAATTATCATGTCACCATTTTTATTTGAGTTAATGTAATTGGAGATTTTTGATGACTTAAATGGATGAATTGAGTTTGGATGATGGAGAAATACTAACATTTAATATTTTTAATGTTATGAAATATCCAGAAGACTCTGAATATATTTTTCATGTTGATGTAATTGACCCCATTATTTAAGATGACCATGAGTATAATTTCTTGAAAGATGAGTTGAACTTTGTATTACAGCATAACTAGATAGGTAGGGCTCCGAAGCTTGAATTGAAATCTTTACCCAAACATTTGAAGTATGTGTATTTGGGAGAGAATGAAACCCTACCAGTGATTATTACAAATGATTAAATCGAAGTCCTAGAAGAAAAACTATTAAAAGTTGTCTAGCCAAAGACAATAAAAAAGATGCTCTTAAAAGGTAGCCTAAACATGATGTTACACCACAAATAATAAAAATTGTTTTTTTCATTTAATTGCTTTATATCTCAATTTAGTATTGTTTAATTGATATTTCCTCAACCATATTTTCTCTGTCAGACTCTATTATCTTAGGTAAAAATATGAAGCACATCACAGGACATATCTAACATTAAAAATAAATAATATTACAAAAAAATAAGGACAATTTTCCCTTCTCTCTTTAAAATGTTTAACTATAAATATCGAGGTTGATGTTCATATATTAAGTGTGGGGGAAGTAATGTGCTTTAAAATGTTAGTGTTTTTGGACTAAAAATTTTGTTTTTGAGGTGTTTTTCAATGATTGAAATGTTAATATATTTAACAAATTTTTAGAGGAGCTAAGAAAAAATCATAAATTGAATGATGATTAAATTTCTTAAAATTGTGTAATCAAGCTATTTTTTTTAGGAATTAGGTAACTGGATTTAGTAGACACAAGTCTATGAGATTCTGAGTTTTATAACCAACACATCCACATCGGTTTCTAATTTTTTTTCATGTGTGATTTTTTTCCATCAGTTTTGTTCCTTTAGAAGTTGCTCTAATCAAGACCATACTTTCACACACACACACACACACACACACACATATATATATATATATATATATATATATATACATGAACATAATTTAAGCATTCCTTATTATCTTATATAGCTTAGCAAAATAAATTTTTCCCATAAAACTCCTTTTGAGTTAATAGGCTTCTTTAATTATAAACTCATATTACAAGCCGTAAAACACATAGTATCTTACCCAAACCGTAGAACTAACGAAGTCACACATCAAGAGGGGTTCTACTATCTTATAGCTCCCGATTGGACAATCTTTTTTCGTACAAGCTACAGCATTGCAACCTTGAAGCTGCCGATTTTATTCTCTAAACATTTAGATGGAATCTACTATCTTATACTAGCTATGCAAATTTTACAATTTGAACTCAGAAATAACACTCCTTATTCTTTAAGGTAAGCAGAGAGTAGTGGTGATTTCTGTGCGTAAAGCAGAGTGGTCTATTATCTGATGCCAAAGTGCTGTCACTTTCTGATTGCCTCTCGCGTTTTGAGTTCTTAAGCGAAGGAGTGGAATCGTACTCACTTCCAATGTTCTTCATTCCATAGACCAATGGATGGTTCCTTCCGAGTAAGTTTTGCAAAACCTCCTTCATGTGAGGCCTAGCAGAAGGATCTCTTCTGGTACAGAAAACCCCCAATAGGAAAACATTGCTCATTTCATCCACGTAACAAGGTTCCTTTATCTCCTCATCTAAGGCATCGACTATAGTTTTTCCTTCTTGCATGTGACGCAATGCCCATTCGGCGAGGCCTGTATCACCATAATTTGCTGCTTTTCCCGTTGTTAGTTCTAGAAGGACAACCCCAAAGCTATAAACATCAGTCTTCTCATTTACTCTACTTGTTTGAGCATACTCTGCGATTCAAGTTATAAAATAAAAAAACTTGTTAATATTTGGTACTGGAAAAGGAGGGCAAGGAAGCAAATACACAAGGATAAGACCTGAAGAGTGATCTTTTACCTGGAGCTATGTAACCAAAGGAACCGGCAACAGCTGACACGGTAGCAAGTTCTTCCTGCTTAATCAGCATCTTTGCTAAACCAAAATCAGCAATTTTTGCATTAAACTCAGAATCCAACAAGATATTGCTTGACTTGACATCTCGGTGAACTATTGGGGGAGAGCAGTCGTGATGCAGGTAGCACAGACCCTGAGCAGCTCCCACTGCTATCTGCAGTCTCTTCGGCCAGTCCAGAACAACATGATTTACTGAAGCTGATGCACTGTTTGATCGCCTTGCTGTATGCAGCCATTGATCGAGACTATGATTCACCA